GAGAGGACTGATGTCTCAGCACAATCTAGACCTCTCAGATCTTCTGGTTCTGGTTCTGCTCTGCATCAGAACCAGAACCAAACGAGGAGAAGCAGCATTCAGCTTCTATGCACCATGGATTTGGAACAAACTTCCAGAAAACTGTAAAACAGCTGAAACACTGAGAGCCTTTAAATCTCAACTTAAAACCCTGTTTAGAGTTGCTTATGGCTAAATTAGGATTAGAGTGAAGGTTTTGATGTCTTCAATGTATTTGATGTTTTTATCTTTTCTTTTTATCTTTTTATTTCTCTTTCTCACTGTTTCCGAGAGGTTAAAGTCCTTGTCAAACGGCGTTTGACTAAAGTCAAAAGGGTTGGAGACAGCTTTTTATTTCTTTCTCAATGTCTGCGTTTTAATGATGTTTTTTTTTAACTCTTTCTCACATGCTGTTTTTATTTTAATTATGTAAAGCACTTTGAAATGCCTGGCTGCTGAAATGTGCTATACAAATAAAATTTGATTGATTGATTGATTGATGTAATGAAGCTCCAAGAGTTAATTACTTAATTTATTACTGTAACAGGCCTAAATGCAACTGTAATAATAAATAAATAAAACAAGACTTTTATTTATTTGTGGATGTATATAAATGAGAGCATGTGCATGCGTTTTGTAAATGTATCTTTGTGTGTATATATATTTATATATACATATTTTGCATCTATAATGATATTTTCATATTTACTTTTCTAGTTTAGCTTGTATGGTGTTTGCAGACTGAGGCAGAGCCTCAACCGTCATCATGGACCAGCTCCAGCGTTGTGGAGATGTGCAAAATTTCCATAAACAATATCATGCAGGGGGTCTACATTTGTAAATCTGATTATGATTAAGTCAGTGAATCACCAGTTATGAACCTCACCGAACGTCACTGGGTGATTTTTTTTCCCACAATGTCCTGTTTTTTTATTCCGTTTTTCGTTTCTGTTACTCTTTTATACCCCACTTGTGAGGCTAATAAAGGATTATTTTATTGTATTTCATCTGACCAAGAGTCACTATTGAGCGCAGCGCCACCTACCCCAGGACTTTGGCACAGTCGTCGTAGTACTTCATGGAGTTTTTCACAAAGCTGAAGCCGTTCACGTCACAGACGTAGGAATGGCCGTTGGCTCGCAGCAGATCGAAGCCACACACGGTTTGCTTTGAAAAACAAAACGCATCTATGCATTAACTTTTTATTTCTTAAACATGTCTATATTATAACTGACTGGCATGTTGAACAAAAAGGAACTGTAAAAAAACAACAACTTTATAAACAGCAGCAATTGGAGTTTAGACCAAAAATAAGGAGGAAAAGAAACAAGAGAATCCAAAGGATCTGGAATAAACAGAACATCTGATGCGACTTCTGCGTAAATGTGAGATGTGTCTAAAATCTCTTTGTAAAAATTAAAGCATATTCTTATTGGCATACATTTTTTACAAAGCAAATTTGCTTCAAAGTGTTCAACAAAGTTTAACAAATCAGTTCAATAGCTTCCACTTTACAGAGTTTCACCTACAAACTCAGATTTGTTGATGTTCAAAAATAAGTTTACAGGAAGTTCTGAGTTAAATTAAAAATAAGTAAGTAAATAAATAAATAGAAAAGTGCTGAATAATTTCCAGGTACCTTGAAGGCAAGGCAGACCTTGCGGGCCACCAGTTTCTCCATGGCGGTCAGCATGACGGGGTAGCGGATCTCCTTGCCCTCGCTGTCTCGCTCCACCTTACCGTCCAGGGCTGGAGACTTCCTGGCCTCGGCGTGGGCGTAATCTGGGCCCACTGTGTAAACCTGACACCATCGGGTGAAGGATGCAGGAAGAAAATCACTTACAATATCTAAAACCTCCCCACCCCACAATTATAATACATATGTACTTACAAGCTTATTGAGTATGGAGCTAAATAGGCGCCAATATCTTTTTGAGCTGCTTCACTTACGTTATGAAGAATTTTATATTATAGCAAAGAATACTGGTGATGTTATAAAGATATTTCTAATTTCCCACAGTTCTGAATGCAACAGAGGAATGTTTTGTCCAGCTGCTTTCAGTCATGATGTCATCTGAAGCCCCGCCCCCACACCTAGCAGGGCCGGAAGTTTGAAACTGGAAAAAAAAAATCTGAAATTTTAAAATGAATTTAGAAAAAAAAAAGTTAGTTTTGTTTTGAATCATTTTTTATTTTTGTAGTTTTAAAGTTATTTTTTATTTTCAAATTTCTTTTTTCCAGTTCAATTTTTTTTAATCAAATTCAAAATTTTTTATTTGATAAATTTTTCAGTTGACATATTACCTTGCACTTTCAATTTTTTTTTTTTTTTTCCCAGTTTAAAATAATTTTTTTCAGATTCAAAATATTTTCTTCAGTAAGAATTCTGGACCTAATTTATTTCCATACAAACCCACTCTGCCCTTCACATCAAAATCAAAAGGCAGGCTGGTGTCCACACAGTACCTTCACATCGGTGCCATCAGTCGGCATGAACTCCTCGTAAATGTACGATCCAGTTTTTCGCACGTTGCTTTCTGGGGAATAGACACTGCTGCGACTTCCAATCTAAAATAAAAATATAGCGATAAACACAGGCCATACAAAAATAGAAAACCTCAAATGTTGTTTTATAGAAGTCGCTTGGGTCAATAGCACGCAGGTGTAACAGAACAGAGCACAAGAGCTATCAACCCAGGAAGCTAATTAAAAGAAAGCACAACTACCATCAAACTTTTTTCCTTAAAACAAACCTTTACAAATGGCAGAAATATTGTTTAAACTGCTTTTATTTCAACATTTTTTTCTGTCAGTTGACCAGAAATCAAAGTTGGAATAAATAGCAGCTGTAAAACAAGATGGTAGTTCTTGTGTGGGTTAACATCGCTCTGAAACCCCCAGAAGTGCATTGGTGAGAGACAAAAATATAAAATCCACATTTTCCAAAAATCAAATCTTAAAACAGAGAATTAGATCAATGGAGAAGGCTGACAGCAGCTACCTTTCTGAAGAGCCTCTGGCTGCCTCCCCCTGCAGACGTTGGGTAGTAGATGTAGACGTTGTGGTCCTCTGCACACACAGGCTTCTCCACAAAGGGCTTAGGGAACACTTCCCCGTTCACCTCCACATGGTCCTCCCCCTCCACCAGGTTGCACTCTGCACAAAGTGAGCGGCTGTGTTTAAAAGCAGTTCAACAGGAAGCCTTTACCAGTGAACGCATGAAGAAACAGTGAAAACGGCAAATAATAACATGAGAAAATGTGGATTTGTTAGAAACAACTGATTTTTCTATATTTAGTTACAAACTGACTATTACATGATGAACCCTTAGTAACTAAGCAAATCTAAAAATATCAACTTTAATTTAAGGGGGCAGTGTTATGTATAGTGCCATTTTATATAACGATCAAGCAACTATGTTACCTTCAGTTATACAAATGCTGTCAAATATGACTTAAAAGAAATTTTACTTTGTAATTTAGCATCTTAAAACGGGGCCTCTGTCTCTTTAAGAAACTCCTGTTCTTTCTGAAACTCCACCTACAGGAAGTCATCCCAACATGGCTCCTCTATTAACCCTTTAACAACGTTTTTACCAGCGTTTCACTGAGAAGTAGCTTCTATAATGAGCGCAAGTTCCACCAGGTGTTTGCTAATTGCTGCTGGCTAGTCTGAAGGAGCCGAGAGTGGGGGTTGAAGGAGAGAGCTGCTCTGTGAAGCGGAAACTTGGAAACTGCAGCTCAGAGGAGGAGCTTCATCCTCGAAGGCGGAGCTAGATCCACCCAGGCATTTTGTATAGCTGAATGGTTGCCATGGAGATTAAAAGATTTCTCAAATAAGGATGAAAGAGTCGAGGTAAAACTCCACGTATGTTTTTGATGAGGGAATAACATGAAGTTAAACTTAAAAAAGCTTATTTTACATAATACTGCCTCTTTAAAGCAGATCTTGCTGTAGACTTTTTGGCACAAACTCATTTATTTCTTTCCTGCTAATCTGCATAAACAATCTGCATCATTTCACTAACACTTATTATTTTTTTAAAAGACGACGATGTTCTCACCTTCAGGATTGTCAGGGTCTCTGTTTAACACGCCGTAGCGAGGCAGGTCGATGCCCTCTTCCTGAAGGATGCGATACACTTCCCTCCTAACATCGGTAATAATATCACAGACAACCACAATACAGTGAATTTGTGCAACATTCATAGTGATCCTTTGTGTTACCAAGAGCAGGAAGTTGAAGACAATAAAGGGAAAGTCTGTAAAAACAGCAATTATGCGATTTTCTCAAGAACAGCTCATTACTAAGACTGGGAAAAGATTTCCTAACTACAAGCCAGAACCGGACAAGAAAAAAACTTTTTTGTTGTTTTTTATTTGACCAAAAACTGCAAATTAGAAAAAAATAATGAAATCTCCAAATTTAACTGTCAGATGAAATAACTTCTTGTTAAGCTTTACTGACATTAAAACTTTAAACATTAAAACATTAAAAAAGAGGCTTGAAGTAAAGGGTTAAGACAAGTTTTGGAAATAATTAGAATTTTAACACGACTGATTTGACAGATTTTTGTGGTAGAATTCATGAAGCCTGTCTTGTTTATTCACATTTGTTTTTGAAAAAAAAAACAAAAACAAAAAAAACAACCTGCTATATTCCTGCTGTTGCTGTGATCAAAGTCCCATCACACATGTATTAAAAGTAGTTTATTTTTTCTCGTTTTTGAGCCTCTCACCTGTCTTGAATGAAATACTGCATGTTGAGATCATTGATGAGCATTGGATTCCTGAGCTTAGCATATTCCACAGCTTTGTCAAGAGGAAAACCTGGAAAGCAAAATAATATGTCACATTTTAGATCAACTTGAATATACATAAGGATTTACTGGAAAAAAAAAACAGTATTTTTTTCTTTTTCCAGAGAGACTCAAACTGCTTTTTGTTGCGTAAATCAGCCTTTTTTTCCAGAACAAGTAACAAGTGATTCATAGAGATAATTGCACTGCGTTTCTGTCGTTCTGGTCGTACGAGTCCTGAAGAGGTTTTGGGTAAACATCGCCTTCTCCCTTTCCTGGAAAAACTGCATCTGCAGACGATCGTGTTCCCTTATCTCCGTCAGCTAACGTTTTTAAAAATAGAGCGGAAAAACATTGCATGTGACAAACTGACTGCAACATGAGTTGTAGATTGTTACCGTCGTCTGGGAATTAATCAGACTTGAAACTCTTAAGATAAACTCATTTATCAAAACGCAGAGATCGCCATAAAAAGTATGGAAGTAAAAATAGGATGAAACTGGAAGACTGGATTAGTGTCAGGGTGATGTTTAAAGTAAAGTCAGAGGAAGCACAAAAAACTGCACATAGTTGTTTAAACACCAACGTTTTCACTCAGCCACCTGTAATGGAAATGCAGAGTTCACCTTTGGAGTGGAAGGAGATGAGGCAGTCACAGAGTGGCCATTTCTCCACAGGCTCCTCCAGGATCACCTCCTCAGGGAAGATGACGACATCGATGTAGTCAAATTTACAGAGTCTCTCCAGGATCTGAGTCATGGGCTTCGACTTGGACTTCTTCATCATGGCACATATGCCCACAACGATCTGTCGCTCTGACGACTGGTGGAAGGGACAAGGGTAGGCGATGCAAATCAGGAAGTGTTGCTTATTCATGGCTTTATTTCAACTGGTTAACAACTTTGTTTAAGATACTATGTATGACAGTAATAAATATGTATTAAAAACATCTACTGTTAAGCTGTTTATGAAATTGTAAAATCTATCTTATGTTCATTAACCTAGAACAAACGTAGCTTTTAATAAATGGGAAAATGGCCGTCAAAAGCAGGCATGCAACTATCTTTTAGAAGGCAATTAAAGAAAAATGAGAAACTTTTTTTTGAGGATTCCGTTATTTTTACTTAATCCAAGAGTTTGCGGAGGTTCATTAATTGACCTAATAATGAAAGGAAACAGAAAAGGTCGGATAGTTTTAGCCAAATTTGATATTTCAGATTTTTTTAAGATAATGGCGGATGAAAGTTAATTTTAAACGGTTGCTATATCCAAAATGGCCACCAGATGGCAGCTACTGTTACACATGAGACCTTTAACATGGTTTATATACATATAAGCAGAACTGAATCTAAATGTTGCATCACTACGTAGCCTCCCTTTGCAGACAAAATGGTTCTTTTTTCAGTGATGTCAGGAAAAGGCCGTCACAAATGTAGACTTGTGGTGTGTGTGCATTTTATTTATAATTTTTCTTCATTGCATAAACAGACTTTACTGGCTGTAGCACAATCCCTCCTTTTATTTCACAGTGTTGCTAATAAATGTGTCCAATTCTGAATGTTGCTGCTGCAACTGCGGCGAATGGAAATGCAGTGGAGGAACGGAGAGGAGCCAGATGGTACAAGAGAGACTCGACAACATGACAGCTGTCACTGCTTCATATTGCACACAACAGCCTGTTGATTATGGTGAAAAGTCTGGTAGTGTGTGGAGCCACTACGGCAAACCCCTTAGTGGGGTGTGTCACAAGATGTAACCATTTTCTGAAGGCAAACTATCGAGGAAATTATGATCTATTTTGCCATTTTCTCTAAGATGAACAAACTTCTCTGTCTCACAGCTCCTGGAAGATGGAGATTAGGTTATCAGATCATTAACTAAGCCGCTATTCTTTCAGTAGGCCTGAAAATGTCACCATTCTAACCGTAGCTGATCCAAACTTTTTATTAGTGCTGTTTGTTGTTGACGGGATTCAGCTACTCGGGTTCAGAAAGTCAATATGCTGAAAGAAAACTTGGTGTTTACGAGTAACCGAGTAAAATTACCACAAACAGCCCTTCTGTCTTACAATTATCCATCTCTGTTCCCAAGCCAGGTTTTAAATCTTGTTTCCAATTCTTCATCTATTCCCCTGTTTGAATGTTACTCTTCTTCTGTTGATTTTTAAAAACTTCATTGCTCTCTTATTTGATATGTATGATTTTGGTGATGGCACTCATCAAAATGTAATGTTTGTTCAGTTGTTGACTGTATGGGGTTTTCTTTATAACTTAGTAATTTTGTGTTTTTATTACGTAAAGCAGCTTACTGCTGAAATGTGCTATAAGAACAAACTTGATTGATTCCTTTTGCCAGGATATGACTGGCTCTTTTCCAAAACCCCTTTGGTTGTTACCAGGCAGCAACGTGATGTCATTCACTTCTCTCACTTACCGATTCATTTTCATACACCTCCATGTCGTCCTGACGAAGCATCTCGTTCTTCATGCCAGCCTCCATTTGGCCCATGTCTTGCTCATCCTCTTCACAGCCAATCACAAAGCGGGGCACGTCTCGACAAATCCACCCCTGTTCTTCAACTGGTCCGGGTCCGTTGCAGGGCTCGGACATCACAAACCCGGGCGAAACATGACTCCTTCAGGAGGACCCTCCCTCACCAAGGGGTTCAGCTAACGATGGTAGCGTTGAAGGCGGCTGGTTGGCTGATACTGGAGAGATCTGCTGACGAAGCAAAAAGTGATCCGCCGGCCTCTTCCGAGGTCGCTGATGTTGGTGGACTCAACACGACACAGGCTGAGGTAAATCGAGTATAAAGCGAGAGCTGCTGAGGTAGATGGAAGGGTATTTCAGCCTAGAAACTCCTTGTCCCATGTGTCAACATTTGCTCACCATATAATCTTGTGCTGCAGGACAAAAAGACAAAAAAGAAGAAAAACAAACCTGTTAAGAAACTAGGTCAACACAATTCAGCTAAGCAAATAGCTTATAAACCACTGTGTTGATACACGTTTTATTTGGGAAATGAATACCAATGGTGTAAGATCAGCAGAACAAAAGAAACCCAGTTTCTCCCAAAAAAAAAAAAAAAAAAAAGTCAGAAAAACTACTGGCATCTGGAAAAGGTTTGTTCCAATTGATCAAAATTCTGACTACAATGAAACACAATTGTCTTAACAGACAAATTACCTTCAAGAACTTAAGGCATACAAACACCTCTCTTCCACTGAGCGGTATGGTGAAGTTGGGTACTCTATGTTATGGTTTGACGTATTTACGACAGCGTTTCCTCCGCCAGTTGGACTTTCACTAGGCAGCCGGGGGTTAAACCTAAACGCCAAATGCTGCGCCATGCTAGTGCGATGACAAAGGGGACACACTAATATGTCTTGTACTTGTTGCAATCATCTAGCTTTTTCTGCCCTCCAATGAATCAACTGTGTTGTGTGACCTATCCATACCACACCACTGTCCTATGGACCTACAACAGAAGGAGGCCCAGGAATGATGCGTGATGTGTCGGCTGTATGGCTGCTTTTACAATCATTTATTCATTTTGCCCTTCATCCTTAGGCCACCAAAGATAGATCTCCAGAGTTTTCTGTCCTGGGCCATTCTTTCTTTTATTTTTTGACATCTGTCTCTAATGACTTTTATTTGACAGTGAATTGACAGAAAGTAGGTTGTGAGAAAGGGAGAAGACATGCGGCAAAGGTCAACAGGCCGGGACCTGAACCTGTGATGGCCACGTAGAGGACTGAGATGTCTGTGAACCGATGGCTCGCTTTTCCTCTGCGCCACTGCCGTCCCCCATCATCAGGTCTTTCTTGAACAGCCTCTCTTTCATTTGCCTAAGAGTGTCTGGCGATGTTGGTTGGTGGTTTGCTAAGAGTGTGTCCTACCCAGAACCATCTTTTCTTCCCAATTTCACAATGGAAACAGATAAAGTCACGTACCGAACCACACCAACCCATGCTGCTCAGTGGAAATGAGGCAATAGTTGATGTCAAATGTCAGTTTTCAAGGGACCGTCTCCTGTCTGTTATAGATGTTGCCCTTTGTTTATCACGTCTTTTTCAAATGAATGGGTTACTATGACGCCTCTGCAGATCTTCATAGTAATGCAGAGGAGGTAATTCAGCCATTTGAATCAGCTGTGCTGAACCTGGGACATCTGAAGCATGAAGAATTAGACATTTTACCAGCTGATTTCTTTCCCATAGTTGGAAGGTCTTTCACACCGTTTGCAATGTTATGAGTTGATGTAAGATTATGCAGATTTGATATGCTTTTGGAAAAAACTAAGTTTGGGGGGTTTTTTTTAGATCTACAACAGAAAAAAATAGTTACATTATGTTTACAGACACAAATGGTTTATCAAAAGGTTTACACAAGCTAAAATGTGGTCACACAAGTAGAGCAAGGGGTTGTAAAAATAAAAACTATTTTAATTATCCACCGTCTCTTAAAACCTCGGCTATCAGTGCAGAAGCTAATCATATATTATTTATAAACTGAGTTTTGAGACAAAAGTAAATTCAAATCAGGTTTCTCAGTCTTGATCTTAACCACATTCTATCACTATTCAATATGACAGAACATCTTTTACTCCGTCTGAGTCACATTCGGTTTCTAAAGACTGTCCAAAACGACAAGATTCCAGCCAGAGTCAGTATGTCCTCTGGTTAAGTCGTGTGTGTATATTATATTGCAACACATAACTCTAGTGTCCATCTGAGAAGCCACTACTTTTAAGACTGTTATGTTTGTTAATTTATGCTCCTAACCTACTTTTCCCTCCTAGATAGAGTCACCAGGAAGTCCATCAATTAAATGTCACATTTTGCCTGCATTATTCCAACAGCCTCAACATCCCATGACTCTTCACCAGACACCACACAAATTTCCTTTCAGATTTATATCTAGATTTATATCTAGATGCTACTGGTACTTTATTTCACTGTTGCTATGGTGTTCTTCTAGCATTGCTCCCCAAACCTTAGGGAGTGGTTTGGTTACATCAGACCATAACACATCCTCCTCCAAGGAGCCGGGAATCCTGTCTTCCTAACAGAGTCCTTAGCTTAGCACATTCTGGGAATACAAGAAATCAAGGACAAAAAGTAATAGCTGGAAATCCCTGCAGATCATCAATCATTGCTGATGGCTTTCTAAACAGTTTTCTTTTCAACAACTTTAGAGAAACATCAAGTCTTTGTGACGACTGTCTTCATTGTGCCATTGTCTCCACATAAAAATGGGACTTCTTGTTCTATTCATCTGATTTATGTCACAAAAGAAAAAAGTGTTTTAACTTATAATTTTACTATTAGGAACCATTGAACACATTCCAACCCAATCTGAACTCATTTTAGTTTGATGTTTTGTAAAAATGTCTCCTCATTATCTGAGTGTTTGATAACATGAGCAGAATTCTGGTTTGAAACAAAATACTACAATAATATTTAGCTAGCTACACTTATCTCCAATAGGAAAGAAAATGGGAAAAGATTACAAAGCCCCAAGTGCAAGAACAAGACATGCAAGACCCATATACATACAGTCACACACACAGATGGGAACTGATCCAATAGAACAACTAAAAAAGAAACTGAAATGCTTAGCTGCCAAATTATATTACACACACACACACACACACACACACACACACTCATGTCCAAGACATTTTGATGTGAGGTTCAGTTCGAATTACCCTTTGAAAGATCCATTGCGAGGAGTATGCAACTGTAAACAATCAGGAAAGATTCCCGGGACATTAAGACTGAGCGTGGGAACCTCTTAACTGCGGTACAATCCTATTCAGATCAATGAAACTTTAATTGCTTACATGTTCCCTTGTGACTGAGCTGATTCCAACGTGGTAAAGTTAAATAAGAATCATTTTTCTAACACCTACCATCCACTCTGGTGAAGACTCCTGCCACAGCAGACCATCAAAAGCAGAGGAACTTGGTAATAAAAAATTTCTATCCACTCGCATACAGTACATGGAGATAACTTCACAGGACCAGTTAAGGATTCTGGCAGCTGAAGAGTTGACTCAATCCTCTCTCGTGTTCTGAACTTTCTGCCCGGACATACCTCGTCTGGGTCCCGCATGCCACTCTGGCCTAACCTTGACACCCAGAAATAACCGCGTCCTCTGCAGGACAGGAACTAGGAGGTGGAGCCCAATCTTGGAGCGTGATGGGTCCCACCGACACGTGCCCCCACCACCCGCCTCCAAAACATAACTCATCACCGCTAACCTCTCAGGCAATGACAGGTTGCACTAAAGCACAGATCCTTCTTACGGCACTGGGGTCACTGAACACTGACAGAGATAAACTCGTAAATGACATAACCCTAAGCTTGATGTGATGTGAATCCTGAGTCGGACTTAACTAAACCAAGCAGATCCAACGGTATGCGCTGGAAAAGCGGGCAGAACAACCACCCAATGAAAAACCGTTTACACCAGGCTATTCTCATCATAAGAATAGCGAACAAGGCAGGAAGTGTCTCAACTTTCATTTGCTCATGTCTCATCACCACTCCTACCAAAACACTTGGGTATACTTTACACACACTGAAGTGCAATGGCTAGTTCCGTTTCAGGACTAAATGTAATATGGAAGGACTGATTTTATTACTTCAGTGCATGACATACTGACAAAACAGTGCAGGACCATATACACTATCTAGAAACCTAATTTGTAGGATCAAAATACCTGGAAGAAAATGTCTGATTCTACATTGCCTTGTTTCCACTCAGCAGCTTGGCATGTGTCCATTTGCGACACTATTTTTTCAGTTTTCCTTGTCGCAGGACCAGTACTGCACCATTTCTGGCCTGCCTTCAGCTCTAAGTCCATAGGACGAAGGTACGGTACGGTGAAGGCAAAGCTACTACCGCAAACATCACACATTTGGGTTCCTTCAGAAGCTTTGCAAATATCCAAGAGAAAAATCTAAGCATCAATAGTTGACCCACAGAAGTGAATGCAGAGAGCAGAGTATTTTTTTTGGCTCAACCAGATTGTTGGCTGCTAGAAATTCCTCCTTCTGAAACAGTAAACGCCAGACTAAAGTCAGTAACACACCAGGACTTGAGTCTTAACAAATCAGTCAAAAAAAATTGTTTTCTGTTGTGTATACATGTAAAACCACACGTCTGTTCCTTCAGACCTCCTAGTCGTCAACTACTGAGACAGAAATTGAGGAAGAGTTAAGAAGTAATGGAAACAGAAGTCAATACCACATTGGCACCATATATAATTATTCTATTACCGCATATGCGATATTGAGATTGAAAAGGTATGTTTGGAGTGTAGTAATTGTTGGCTAGTATATTTCAAGTGTTAAGAACTTGCAAGTTTCATGCCAATGTAGAGTTTCACTGGTTGGACAGTGAGTCATGGCAGCAGATGCTCACAATTCAATTCAATTCAATACTTCATTCATCTCAAAGGGAAATTAAATGGTGTCATAACTCATGTCATCCAATTAGCTTCAAAGATGCTGTGGACAGGAAGGATCTCAGGTTGCAGTCAGTCCTGTAACAAATCAGAAGAATCTCTGACTGAAAACTCATGACTGTCATGACATGCCAAGAGCTCGATTTCAGGTCAACAGATTATATTTCACAGCAACATGTCCTGGATGACACCATCAGTTGTTGCCAACCACTGCTAATCCATCTCATTTGCTTTTGCCGCTCCACTTTCAATCTCCATCTGGCTATATGGTTGGAAAACCAGGCATCGATCACTTCTGATCGACGGAAGTGATGGGTTGAACTTATAATAATTGTGCAAAAAAGCTATGCCTCACCAAAAACAAATGTCACAAATGACATTACCGAGAATGCTAAAGGCTACAGAGTGATGGAAGCACAGGTGAGAGGAAATAACAGTGGTGAAGTCAGCGGTGTGGTTGTTTTGTAAAGGTTTCAAAAGCGTAGTAAAATATGTATAATATGAAATATTGGTAAATATTGCTTATTGGCCATAAGAGCAGTATTAATATCATATATCAGTCCAAATTTATACATCTGTGCATCCTTGGATACATCCCTAGTCAGTACAGTCTTTATGTTTACACCGGAAAGATACTTGTATCTTTACGATGTTTGTAAACATCTTAAATTACTAAATAATACAGCACTGACATACATGACTGACTCCGTGAGACTGCCTTAAAACTTCCCCTGCAAAGGTGTTGCTTTTTTCTGACGTTAAAACACACAAGTGAACTGTCCGTCTGCTGTGTGAGCAGAAAGAATCTGCAAGTTCTGTCAGGACTGCAAGGTAATTTCTGCATCTTTCATGCATGACTGTCCATCCCGCTGCTCACTTTCCCCAAGCTTTCTTTGAATCATTTCCCACGACACGAGGAGATATCCAGCAAAGCATTTCCAGCAGTTCACTACATGAGTAAACAGTACCGATGGAGAAAGTTTGGACCGTCTGTTCTGCATATTCTTCAGATGTTCAGTGTGAACACAGCTGAGAACAGTGTCACACTGCGCCCTCGGTGTTATTATATCGCTTTACGAAAGCAAACAGAACGCACTTCATGGCTTTGAAGCTTAAATATTTAACAGTGGGAATATTGTAAACGTTGTGTGTATGCATTTAAAGGCATTAACGTATCTTAGTTCACATCCATACAACAAAATAACTGCTTTATATCCACCAACACGAGCCGTGTTCGCAAATTAACAGACGCCAACATCTTGACACCAGTTAGCTCGACACAAGTCATAAAAAACTTAGTTCTTCCTAATGAGATGGAAAAAAAAAAAAGAAAGAAAGAAGCCACCAGAGAGAAATCACTTTTATTACGGCTCTCCTCTGCTAGGCAGATTGGTCCCTGTGAAAAACAAAACCCTTTTTAATCACCCATGAATAAATTAGCAGGAGCTGATGAGTGACATCAGCTGCCACCCGTTGGTCCGAGGACGCTTCGGTGTCTCCGTCACAAGACGACACTGGTTACAAAACGACACTGGTTACAAAACAAAACAAAAAAAAAGCTTTTAACTTTTGAGACCGTCTGCCACATCGCGCTAATGTGGCGGTTACAACCGGGAGGAGTCGGCCATTAGCTCCCATCCCCATCAGCCGGGGACCATAAACCGTGGTGTACGTCTGGAAGTAACTGAGGTCATGTCTTGAGCAGAGAAGCACAAACGTATTTATAAAATTATTAAAAAAGAAAAAAAGGTTGTTGATATAAAAAGAAAAACAGCAAATGTTTCTTATTCCCGTCTCAAGCTGTTAACCCATTTATTAGAAAAGCAGTTAATAATTAGATGCAGTGGAAAATGAAATCAAGTGGGCAAACTCCATGAAAATATCAGTACAGAAAAGATAACACACTAGTTATCAGGATGCAAACATCAGCCAAACAGACGTCTTCTCCTATATATGAATTAAGCCGCTAAGAAAATAGGTGGCCAGAAACACAGTAATGTGTTTTTGTTTTTCTTTTTTTGTTGTATTATTTCACTGTCATCAAAATATACAAGATAAAATCTCAGGAGTGTTTATAAAACCTTTTAAGCTTACAACTAAAAACCTTGCAGTGTTTATGCATTCCAAGCATTTAATATGAAGATTATGTAACGCAGAGTAGAGGACAAACTAATCTTTAAAAAAAAAAAAAAGATAAATACACAGAAGGTTCAAAGGTGACAGTTTTATGATAATGACATGCTACTGGCAATACAGCTGCCAAAAATAGAGAAATAGTGTTTTAATACTATTTGGTCCCAAACTGAACACAATTCAGAATAAAAAAATAAAAATCTTGGATCAAAATTATTATAATGTTTTTAGATGTATTGAGAAACGACGACTGGTGGGTTCAAGCTGATGTCAAAACGACATTTTTTTTTTAATCAGTATGTGAACAATGCAGAGCGCTACCTTTTTGGTGTGGAAGTTGTTGAGATGTAAGAAGCAAACTGAAGGAAAACCACAAAGAACTGAAAGAAAAACATTCATTACAAGCTGCAAGAAAGGGAGAGAGAGCAAAACTTTCAGCAGATAAGAAGTCTGAACAAGTTTACAGCAAAACTGCTCAAACTTATGCTTTACCAGCTTAATTTGAAAATGTTGCTAGACTTTTTTAAACATTCTGCAGGATATACACACAAAACTGCCGTTTGTGTAATGCAGCTTGCAAATACAAGATGCTAACCACAGACTAAAGTTTACATTTTGTAATTTTTTTTTTCCATTCAGAAATGTTTTACAGTGACTGCTCTACCGCCTCTGCTCCTCATATAAATACCGAAATCTATACCGAAGGGTTAAAGCATTAAAAGAGAGAGAGAGAGAGAGAGAGAGAGAGAGAAAAAGTTCAGTTTGGGAAATTGACCTCAAAGTTGTGATTGGTGCATCTCAAAGCAATCCCTTTTTTTATTTTTTATAATGTTCCACTTGAAATTCAAAAATACGGCTAGTTGCCGATGTGTGTGATGTGTCTTTCATTCCAGGGGGAATCCTAAGACAAAATAAAACATAACAAAAACTGTTCATGAATGTTTATAAATGTGTGACGTCATTCTCAGTTTATGTGACGCTAAATTAAATGGGTATTTTATTGAAGGAGTGTGAACTACATTTGACCATCACTATGAGACTGAAAAGACCTCAACTGGATTTCCATACACTGAAAATAAATATATAAAATATTTTAAAAAACCACATCTTTTGATTTATGAAAGCTTTGTACTACTTGCAAAACACTAAAAAGTGATATGTAGACACTGTCTTGAAATTCTGGGATTCCACTGACAGAAAGAGAGGCTCACCCAGGACACCAATCATGCAAGAACCGCCTCTGGATGCAAGGTTTTATATACTGAGAAACAACATTTACATATAGAAATTACAGCTGAAAACGTCCTCAGTGCCTCTACTACCAATCATTTTTAAACTAAAGGCAACACAGATGTTGAAAAAATACTTCCACATAATAAAATAATAATTAAAAAAAATCTTCCAAACGTATTAAAACTGGAACGCTTCGCTTTGCTCTGCCCACGTTACGTGTTGTTAGGAAGCAACCAACTCAGCATCGATGTGTCCATCTGTTCACTGTCTTTGAAACCAATCCTCCATTTATGTCAGAGCCCAACATTACAGGTGTCCAGCTGCTTGTTTCTAGTCACCACTCAGAGGGCTTCAAAAGGCAATGAATGGGTCCAAAAAATCCCAAACTTAATAAATCTGAACGGGGCCTGCTCACTTTCTCTTAACTCCAGGTAGATACGCTACGGTTAAGAAACACTAACAGGGTGGTCTGCCTTTGTCTCTTCTCTCCTGCACAGTAAATAAAGCACAGTTTCCCTTTCAGAACCTGAAGCCTTTTACCATGAGGAGAGCACACAAAGCCTTTAAATAACAGAGACTCACCGGCGGAAAACAACTGGGAGTTTGACTGCTCCTCACTTCCTTGTTTCCCCTGACTGAGTAGAGGCGAAGTGAAGCGACTGCTGCTGCCTCCGTCGTCTGCCTCTCTAAACTCCGAGTAAAGTTGTAGGCTCCTCGCTAAAGTTCATGTCCGGTCACCGCCGTCGTTGCTTGTCTGTTGCCGCTGTGAGCTGCTTCCTTCCCATTCTTTCTCTCCCCCCACAGCCGAGATAACGTTTTGTTAAATCAGCGCCGTGACCGCCATCTAGCGGTCATCTGGCTGCATTACAGCACCGCGCTTCAAAGATACTGTATCCGCTCTGGTGAAATAGTGAAATATTGTCTGAATTAATTAAGCATGTTTAACTGAGTGTGAAGACGACTACGTATTAGGGCCAATGTAGATAGAAGAAAACCCAGAAATGTCTGATTTTCAAAAGTAGAAGGTTTGCTGGGAAAACCCCCCAAAAGTGTTTAGATTAGTCTCAGAACTTTCCAAGTTTTTTTCAAGAATTTTTCTGAAATTAATCTCAACATTTCAGATTTTTTTTCTTGCAAATTTTTGACTTTCAGAGCTCAGAAATGTTTATGTTTTTTCTAGAAAAATTCCTAGATTATTCTCAAAATTTGCAAGTTCTTTTCACAAATTTTTAATTTTTGGAGCTCAGAAATGTCCTTGTTTTTTTTTCTAGAAAATTTCTGAGATCCATCTAAATATTTCAGAAGTTTTACAGGCAAATTTTCAACTTTTATAGCTCAGAATGTCCTTGTTCTTTCCAGAAAGTTTCAGGGATTTTTCTCAAATTTACTGATTTTTTTGGCACAAATTTATTTCCCTTTTTCTATCTAAACTGGCCGTATTACACCTTTTGTAGACTGTGTGGCATGACTTGACAGAGGTAGATTTAAAGAAACTTAAATCTCAGTAAAAACATATGAAGTATTCAGTTAAAAATTGAGAAATTGTGTTATGATCTTGCATAATAGACCAATACAAAATATACAGGTATTGCTTTGTGATGTTCTAATATTAGTTATACCAAAACGAGAGAAAAAGAAAATAGTTTTCAACAAATAACATTTTAAAAAATCCAAAAAACATGGTCAACATTTGTATTCAACATCCCTGTGTCAAATCTCAAATGCTTTCAACATCTATTTTCTTGTTTTGCTCCAGTTTCTCAACTGGATTTGTGTCCGGACATTGACCGGGCTGCAACGTGCTTTGATTAAAACAATTCCCTTTCAGCTGGAAGACATACTGTCCTGTTGGAAAGGGAACTTTTGCTCTGGTCTCAAGGTCCTGCAGCCATGTATTTTGCTTATTCTGCTAAGCAATTGTCCAATTCTCTCTGTTGGTCTGTCGTATTAAATCTCAATAAAATACATTCAAGTACAGCAGGCCGCTGAAATAAGCCAACTGGCAGAAAGCGAGTTCTGCCAGTTGGCAGAACTGGCTGCGGTAATAGAACCGCAGCCAGTTCTATTAAGTCAGAACTGGCTGTTGTACAGCTGCAAGTAGCCACGTTTTGATGCTGAAAAACCTGTCAGGTAAATGTGGAGTGTCTCTTTCCCCTAATGCAACAAGGACCAGAGAGGTGTGTGTGCGCTGCAGCATAAGGAGGCAGTGTTCACTAAAAAAACAATTCTCCCTCTTTCTCCCTCTCTCCCAGCATCCAATAAAGCTCCTTTTTACATTCACTCCTCAAGGGAGTTGAAACAGATGGGTAAATGTTAGTCAATTAAAATGTTTAGCATCAGAACCTTGTAAAATTCTAACAAACATCATATGATATTATGCAAAACACTGAAATCTTTCCTATGAAAACTCCACAGAGGCTTTGTCCAGGATTTCTGTGATTTCTTCCTCCAAAGATTAACTTACATTTTTATTTTTTAACTTCGATTTACTGTCATAAACTCCCAGTGTACTTTAAGATCCAAAATAATGGCTGAAAATTCAGGTAAAAGGCGCTCACTGCATCCAATCTTCTGGACAGCAGTGCTATCTACCAGCTTAGCTAATCTGAGTTAGCCCTAGCTAAAAAAGCTAAAAGAAATTATCTTTTTTAAATTTCCATCCATTTATTAATTTCTGTGTCCTGACATAAACTCACAATGATCCAACTTAACAGGTGAAAAGTCAGGTAACATTGTTCGCTGCATCCATTTTACAGCAACAGTGCTATCTAGCGGTGTAGCCAACTTAAGTTAGCCCTAGCTAAAAAAGCTGAAAGAAATTATCTCTCTTTTTTTGCCACTGTTTCTGGTTCAGTATTGGACATCCATGAATAGTTCTGCCCCAAAAGAAGCAAACGACTGGACTAGTTTTCCACTAAGGGTCAGGATATTCACAGTCTTCATGGCAACAGGCATGAATCCAAACAAGCAGTCCTGGAAAGTTGTTCTGTGTGGGAGTTGAACTGCATGCCCTGGACCAAAATAAAGGCTCTTCACACTGGTACTGGATATACTGTATTTATTTTATATTTCTGCAGAAATACTCACATGACACAGTCAACCTTGAATAGTATAAATTATAGCAACATTTAATTTTCCTTTGGGATCAATAAAGTTTTTTTTTTTTTTTTTTTTTACTGAATTTGAATTTACAGAAACTCCTTGACATGATCGTTTACAAGTTATTCAAACTTCAATATTTTTGAGACATGTCATTAAATAAATTAATTTGAAAGGCTGCCTCTGCCTACAGATTTCTTCCAGGGTTTTGTGTTTTTTTTTTTTTTTCAGACGTCTGTAAAAGATGTTGCCGCCTTATCCTCATAACTGGTTGCTGGTCTTTTGCGTCATTGTGAATTTGTGGGCCACTCTTCCTTGTGGAATTGTTTTAACTCGTTAACACTGGTAGGGTTTTCAACTACGAACGGCCTGCTTATGATCAAAACCATAGAAAATCAGTAGGACTTGGATTCAGATGTTGGCTAATCTACTACAAAATCTTCGATTTGTTTTATAGAACCAACCAAATGGATCACAGCTCTCCTGCGTTGGTCAACAACGCTTGGGCTTAAGGTCACAAACTCTTCACAGCTTTCTAGTAAAGCGAGGATTTCATGGTCCCATCAAATACAGCAAGTGTTAACAATGAAAGTGATAAACCAATTGGTTATCATTTTCCTGTATTCCAAGCACCTCATATGTAATTACAGACACCGTATGAGCTCACAGAATATCTCTCTGCTGTACCTAAGCCAAGTATTAAGCCATTAGTACATTTTGTCTTTCAGTGTGAACTATTTTCTTGCAGCCCATGAGATCTGTTTACATTAACGTTTATTTCCGTCAATGTTTATCTTTAGATCAAAAGCCGGGGAACCAAAGAGGCTCAGAGAACAGCAAGAACAGGGCTCGCTCTGACATCTCGTCCATATCTGTCGCCGGTCTTTACGTGCTGTGCAGCTTGTAAATTAGTACAAGTGTGTAAATTTAGTTTGCGAGACTTGACAGCTATAAAGCAGCCATTCACAGTTAGGCAGAGGTTGTGAAATATGTTGCTCTGCTACGTGATAGGGTGCAAGAAGCTGTGTCAACACTCTCACTCTGACACACACACACACACACACTTATCCTTGTTAATAGTGGATAGAAATATACACACAGAATGGTAAGAAGTACATCAGAGGCGGATGCTTTAAATGGAACCCCCATTAATCGAGACGTATATTCTAATATGACTGTGCTCTCTCAATATTGTGGTCTTCAGCAAATACAAATTATTTTATTGATTCTAACTGGCCTAAAACAAACAAACAAAAAAGTTTTAACTGTTTTAACTTCATGCAGTGAGAAAAAAAATGAAGCATGTTTGTGCCCTTTTTAAATGATGTACGTAAACTTCTGGTTTTAACTGTATAAATTATGCTATAAATTGTTATGAAATACTGACAAAAAAAAAAAACAGTAAAAACCCGGGTTTTCAGTTTAGTCTGAATCTAGTCATATGAGATTGAACTTTCACTTTTTGACTTTTGTGCAAAAAAAGGAAGAAAACTAACAGTGCCAATAACCCTGAACACACCACAGCCCCATAGTGAAGGATGGCGGTGGCAGCATCATGTGATAGAATTGCTTCCAATCACTGCTAATTTTATTCTTGACTCTAGAGAGCTGAATACAAATATATAGAAAACTTGTATTGGTAAAAAACTGTTGTCAGTCCATATCACTTTCCTTTTATTTTGTGTTGGTCATGTTGTTGTGTTTGTAGCAGTGCAATAAAGTTAAAGGTGCTTGAATACTTTTAACATGTAACTTCAGAACAAAACCTGGAGTCAAATTTCTCATGTGTCCAGCAACAGCAGAGTTCCTGTTGCAACCACATGCTTCTGCACACAATGTGTACGCAATTGTGTGTGTGTGTGTGTGTGTGTGTGTGTGTGTGTGTGTGTGTGTGTGTTGAAGTCCAGGGTGTGTGAAGTAGAGGGTTCAGAGACGTGTGCGTACGCCCCGGTAGGAACACAGAAAATCCATCGCCTCAAATATTTAGAAAAAAAAAAGAAAAATCGATGCCTCAGCACTTTTCGAATGCTTGAAATTTGTCACCTCCCGAGAAAAAGCCTCAGTCTGCTTACAGATGATCCTTTTTCAAAACCCATGTCAGCAGTTTACCAGCTTGTTTCCAGCATGCGGCTTCTCATATTTGGATCATTTGAGCTGAGGAACACAGGCAACTCTGTGCTGGCCAGCTGGCCGGCCTGGTCCGCTCAGAGAGCCCTTTCACAGGCTACCTGGACACTTCAGCACGACCCTACAACAGATAAGGTCTGTGCTAAGTGGAGACGGCAAATGGGCCGGAGCAAGTCCCAAGTCAGAGAAATTAACTGAACACTTTTAGTAAAGCATGACTCGACAACTAAAGTTAACTAATTCTTCTTGTGTTTTTAGGTGTTGGAGCTCAATAGAAATCTTAAATAAACCAGTTA